ATATCCAGTTGTGTCTAAAAGAACGCGTTAAGACAAGTCGAAAGCGCAGAAGTTACCTCGGCATTTCCAGCGTTCAGGTTGCTGATGTGCTTCGGCGAGCTGACCGAGGCGTTGGCCAGTATTTGAGAGTTTGTGACGAAGAACTCGTGACTGAAGAAGATAAATGATCAGTCAGGTCATTGAATAGTCTAAAATCCAATAAACTCCCAACAATTTACCTTTCACAGTGTATGTACAAAAGATTCAGACAGGCCGAGTGCTCTCGAGGATTTCGGATAGCGAACGCAGGGTCCTCAACAATGCTTCCGGAGAGAAGCCCGAATAGAGGTGGGTGTAGCATCATCTGAGAGTAATTTTAGAGGATAAACACAGAAACACACCACGATGAATGAGTTCTTCACCAGCGCCAAGCGTCGAAGCGCGCGTGTCAGCGTCAGGAAGCAGGTCGGGTTCGGATGAGCGGACTCCAGGGAGGCGCGATAGCCTAAAAATATTTTTCTATTTAAAGTTTAGCGCCTTACGCTGCCAATTCTCGACTACGGCCACGTATGTTGTTTGAAGTGAGCTGATATTTTTCTCGGCCAGCATGCTGACGAGCAGGGCGGCGGCACTGGTTGATACTTCTGGCATGCCGAGGATCTCGAACAATACGGCAGGGCGGCCATTGTCTTCCTTCACCAGGAGCGTTTGGAGGATGTCGTAATGGTCAGTGAGGTCGGTGGCAGCGAGAGCCTAAATTCGTTTTAGGTCTAGTTTTTCTGTGTTACCCTAGAAATCCACTCGATATATGTACGAGCGACAAGTGGGGATGAAGTATGTGAGAGCACCCGTACTGCCAGAAGGTAGGCACACCGGAAAAGAGGGGTGCACATCTGAAACTGATGATTTTGATCAACTAAAAACCCTACCTCTTTCTCGAAGATTCCGCTCAGTGTTACTAGAAGCTCCAAACAATCGACCATCATCAGGAAGAGCTTGTTCGCGTTGACCGGAACGGTTTTCAAAATGTCCGCGTATTTCTCGAAGTCTTTCAGCCCCTAAAAACGGTTTCTGATTGTCAAATGAACCGCACCTCCTCAAGAGCGGTGTTGAAGAAAGCATGGAATTGCACGGGATCGTCGAGATAAATTCGCATAATGACAGCATGATTATGGATCAGTGAGGCAGCGCGGGTCAGGGCGTCCCGCGTTTTGCGACGATTCAGGGTACCCTTGACGATATCCTAAAGAGAACTATTTCCGTTTACTCGAACAAACCGCCAGATCGGCGTCGATGTCCTGCCGAAATTGTTGCAGCAGACCGTTTGCGTAGTCGGGGCGCTTCAGCCAAGACGGGGCCATGCCGAATAGCGTCTAATTCGTGATTTGGCTTGATTATAAATTGCTTACCTCTTCACATTTTGAGTGAATGCTCTTCGAGACCGTGTCGTCGATCAGCCAGCCGATCGTCAAATCAACCATGTCCTAAAAAACTATATTAAAAGCTATTCGAGTTTTCTACCTCAAAATGTTCGTCAGCAACACTGGGTGATAGCTGTGAAATAGCTACACACAGATCCATCAGCGCAGCGTGTACCTAAACTAAAGTTTATAAATTTGTTTGTTATCACCTTCGGGACAGTGTTGTCCTCTAGCTTCTCGAGGGCGAATGTGATCAGAGCCTAAATCAAATTATTCTAATTCCGCTCAGAAGCTTACCCTGGCCGCTTTTTCGTTAAAAGGAAAACATTGCGCGAGGATGGGGCCTGTTGAAGAAGCGGCAGCGCTAAAAATTGATAATAAGTTTTTGACTAGCTGTACCTGATGAGATAAGAACGCTCGTCATCCGCTTTGAGATGGAGCCCTTTAATAACCTTCAAAATCCATTCGACAAACCTGAAATGAACAAACAAAAAACTGTGTATTTAACCAAAAAAACGTACCCAACATATTCCCAGCCAGTCAGTCCACCGATCAGTCCGATCGCGCGAGCAATATTCTTCTTGAGCTCGAGTGGGCCGACACGGACGCCGAGCGTCAGCATGATCTCGTCACATAGCTCTTGCCAACCACCGGAGAGTTCCTGAATTCAGAAGGTGTCGTACAACGCAAATGATTACCTGCAAATTACCGATAACTTCCAAATTTTCCACGAGTTTTGACGACGCTTCAACCCGTTGATCACGCGTGAACTTGGTGCGGTCCGTGATCTAATGAATTTTCTAAGCGAGAAAAACTGCTTCTCACCTGTTTTAATAGAGCACGAACTGGGTGTAGTGGCTGAGTGTCTTCGGTCATCACAACGCATGCCTGGAAAAGGGATTTGTTATGGATTTCAAGATCGAAGAGGAAGTTTCGAGAATGAGAGCATGTTATAGAAGGGGAGAATAGAAGGAAAAGGCTGAAAAAGGTATAAAAATACATCCTAAAATGTAATTTAGGGGTATTAAAGCCAAATTCCTAAGCTAAAAGACCTTTTTTAGGGCTTAAATACTGATGCTGAATGCATTAAAATAACGCGCGAGTCGTGTAAAATTTGTTAACCGCCCTATAGAAGCGCAGAAAGCAAGGGAAAAAGCAGAAAATTTCCAAGCGCGATCGCCGGGCGCCCTTCAACCCGACGAACGGGTTGGCATTGGCAGATCACGCCGCGAAATGCTCGTGTCTCTCTCGACTCTTTGCATTCTCTCACGCAGCACACGCGCCCGAGACAGTCATTCTTTTGCAGTCTACAATCGGTAACGATCAAGGGGAACCTGTGCAAAAAGTTATTAGGGCTGAAAAAACATTAGTAGTTATCCAAACGTAGTTAAAATTATACAACAAGCGCTCGACAATGAAAGTTGACTTTTCTGGCCGACAGTCCGAATTTGAAGACAAATGCTCCAAATCCGGGCAAAAGTTGGTTTTGATTCGCGTTTTTTTCTGCAAATTGGAATTCTTCCGGAAAAATCATGGTAAGGCAATAAAAAAACCATTAAAAATAGCAAAAAGTGGGCCAATGAACGCTAAAAAAAAAGACTGTTATCGAATCGAAAGATCTGTTAATTTGAAAATTCGGCTAAAGTTTTATTATTTTTATGTAAATTGAAAGTCCTATGGAGGGCGATCGAACCAGAGAAAAACAAAGATTGAAAGTATCCGAAAACGGGCTCAAAAGCAAATTAGATTATTTTGATGACCAGACGATGGATAGTGCAATTTTGTTAAAGAACGGATCGAGTTTAATCGAAAAATGTGTATTATATACTTAAAATTTCGCTTATAAGATTCGATTTAATTACAGAAATAAGCTTGGAGGAAAAACCTTGGAAAAGAAAAGGTAAAGTAGAATAGAATTCCAGTCAATCTGAAGGCTTTTACGACAGTGAAACCTGAAAAACAACGTTCAAACAGCTAAATACCTCGATTGTCGCCACGGGAAATTATCCAAAAGCTCTCTAAAGCAATGGCTTCTCCCCAAAAAACTATTGGCTAGTTGCCAACGCTGCAATTTCACCTCAAACACTCACGATAGCAACAAATCGTGCCACTTTTGGACAAACCCGCGTCCCGGGGCATCGGCTGTGTCTCTCCCTGCCCGTCTGCGCCCTCTCGGTCCCCGGCCCACCTTTCATATAGCCCCTCGGTGGCCCGGCGCCCTGTGACTCCTTGGCGCAATGGTAGCGCGTTCGACTCCAGATCGAAAGGTTGGGTGTTCGAGTCACTCAGGGGTCAAAATTTTTGCTTTTTGGGGGAAATGTTGCTGGCCATTGGCGGAAGCTATGGCACTAGTTTTGCGTTTTGCGCATAGCTTTTGGACCGTTTTTTGGGCTCTTTTGGGGCTCTGTAAATATGGGGTTCATAGCATTTTCTAAGACTATTTTGCTGTTTTAACTGAACCTGCGCGAGGCGAGAGGCCTCCTTCGTTCGAGTTCTAATAGATGAAGTCTTTTTATCTTTCTCTAGACATGGATATGGCGAGAATATCGAATCGAGTTATCACAAAGTAGCAAAAGAATAAAATTGCGTTTGTTTTTAGTCAGTGGCCGGCACTTGACTAGAAAGCAGAGTCTTCGTTGGTTTCATCCGGACACCATCCCCAAAAATATCGTCGTCAGACTCGGAATCCGAGGCCAAATGCGGGTAGACTTCCTAAAAGATCGTTTTTGCATGTTTTATTGGCTCACTTACTTTTACCGAGAGCAAATCATAGCGCGTAACCCGGGTTCTAGTCGAAGATCTAAATTTTTGAGGTTTTTAGCAAAAAATAGCTCAATTATTAGGACTGGCAAATTGATTCAAGTCTTACTTGCACAGCGAAACAAGACATGAGCACCCGCACACCAAGATTATAAAGCCAACAACCGCCGCAGCACGTAGCCAAGCAAATTCATCCCATTCCTCCGATGCCACATGTCTGTATTTTTTTGGATTAATTGGTTAAAGGATTCTCTGGAAAAATTCATCGCTGTAACTTACGGACTAGGTAACTTTGTAAGAGGAAAAACGGTGGTCGACATCAGGCGTTACTCCATAATGTTTCCGCCTACTTGCTCTCGGATTTAGCGAAATGTCGGGCGATCCAGTCTAGAAAACTGAGGATGTCGTTTTACTTCGGGCTCCGGCCTAGCATCAATCCCGAGCCTTGAATCAATACCTAACCAGCGGCGAGAGCGGCAGCCCGCATAGACGCAATAATAAATGTCACCCCCACAACAAAACGACGCTCGAAATTGAGGGATGAAAAAGCCCGTGTTCCTGTTTGTTGGGAAGTTTGCAGAAAAATCTTTTATTTAAATTAAACTGACTATGTTCAAAACCACAAGTAAAATCTGCAGTTTTCTTGAACAAACCGGGAACCATAGTCACATTACAAACGCAAGCACAACAACATCTTAAACCAGGGCCAGTACCCGTGCGAATATGTGATAGATCACGGGTTAAATAAGAATTGTGTCGAATTTTTTCATACCATTGAAACAATGCTGAACTACGATTTTAAGAAAAAAAAACATAAATTAACGAAAGAAGGGGCGGCTAATTGTCATTCTTGCTCTGATCCAGTATTTTTTGCGGGTCCAGCCGTTCGGCACGTCGATTCTCCGAGGTGATGCTCTTGTAAACAGCCATCGCCTGCGCGACCATAGCGCTTGGTTCCTAATTTTTTTTTCGATAAATTTGCGCTAAAGGGGCTCACCTGAATATTGGCGGGCAAAATAATTGTGTTTGTTTCCTTGGCGAGCTTAGAAAATGCTTCAACGTATTGTTCGGCAATCGTCAGGGACGCAGCACCAGAGCCCTCATTCTAAAAAAATTCAGTTTTGAAAATATTTTTAAAATCCGACCTTCTCCATGGCGGCCGCGATGCGTTCTAACGCCGCAGCTCGAGCTTCTGCGTAAACTTGGATTGCCTGGGCTTGACCACGAGCAATGTTCATCTGAAAGCAGCGATTAGATTTTCGGTACAAAACTTGGTTTCAGACCGTGCGGGGGTAGGGGGGACCAAATTTACCAGTAATCCCGTAAGGCCCTACGCACAAATTTCCGCCATTTTACATAGTAAACATTGCACTTTTTCCCAAAAAAATGTGACTTTCTGTGTCAAAAATCCACGAAAAATGCCAAAAACACATTAAAGGGCTGCCGACGGCATGTGTCGCTCCCCCCAATCAACAAATTGGCAAGTAGCCAACAGAGCAGAGAGCGCGCCCGGGGGAGAGGCGCAGAGATATTTTCTTTCCAGCGCGTAACTGATTGACTATGCCGTCGGCATCCCTTTAACAGCTCGAAATTTAAAATTTCTAAAAAAATTTCTAGCAATGAAAAACTAGTAAAAATACCATTAAAATATGTTATATATATTAGCAACGGTAGGCATAGGCTGAAAAAAAAAGTGGTTTTCCCCGTGTTGAGAATCCGCCCCCCCCCCGCCAACAGACCAGAACCAAAAACTATAGCTTAAACTATGGCCACTAATACTTCGTAAATATACCTGTTCCAATTCCTTCGCTTCCGATGCCAAGACTTGAGCTTTCTTCTTTCCTTCAGCGACGTTGATCGCGGCCACTCTCTGACCTTCCGATTCCAGGATCGCGGCTCTTTTCCTCCTTTCCGCTTCCACCTGCATCTGCATGGCTTCCTGGATCTTCGCTGGCATTTGCATATCCCCTAAAAATAATCTTAAATAAGGTCTCCAAATCTTACGAATTTCATATCGCAGGCAAGTGATGCCCCACGGGGAAGCTGCCTTGTTGATGGCTTCCACGATACTTTCGTTTAGCGTCTCGCGCTCCTTGAACACCATATCCAACGAGATTTTGCCGACCTGAAAAGCTTATAAAAACAACGAAACGCAAGTTACTTCAGAACGCATTGTGGTCTGCGCAATCTGGGTGACAGCAAACTCCGGATCGTCAACTCCATAAGAGGCCTATAAGTATCAATAGGATTGACGGTGCTTTTGCATTATCGGGGTAGGGGAGAAAATTTTTTTCTTAAGAACCAATTTTTAAATATAAATAACGGAACTATTTGTAACGGGGCTGTTCTACTTTACAAATTGTGATGCAAAAATCCAAAAAAAAATAGATTTTTCTACAACAGGCCGTTTTTGACCAAAATTTCGGCTTTTTCAAAACTGCTCAGATAGTTTATCTAGTTAAAACAGAGTTTTATTTACTAAAAATATTATGAAAACACTTCCTATTAAGTTACTAGGCATTTCTCGATTAAAGGGATGCCGACGGCATAGTGAATCGGTTACGCGCGGAAAAGAAAATGTCTCTGCGCCTCTCCCCTGGGCGCGCTCTCTCCCCTGTTGGCTACTTGCCAATTTGTTGATGGGGGGATCGACACATGCCGTCGGCAGCCCTTTAATACAACCCCCCCCCCCCGATAATGCAAAAGCACCAGTTAAAAAAATTCAAAAATACCTTGAAAGGGTCGACGACGCGTAGATAAAGCACACCGTCAATTTGCAGCTGCACGTTGTCAATGGTGATCGCCCCTTGTTGCGGGATCTCGATGGCGATTTCCTTCAAGCTTTGCACGTGCTTGATTTTGTCGACGAGTGGTATAAGGATGTTGACGCCCTAAGAATACTATTTTGCCGCAAGAAAATTGTTCATACCGGCTCCAACACTTTATGGAATTTGCCCATCCGCTCGACGACCCATGCTTCTTGGTGGGGCACAAAATTGATGATGGTGTTGCGCGCGTAGCCTCTTCGCGCAATTGCGAGGATTGTCGCCGGGCCTCGGCGTAACATCGTTGGAATAAGGACCTGAAAAAGTATAGTAAGATTTTAATTAGGCTAATTAGTATTCTTGAAATTGAGTTTAACTTTTATACAGGGTGTCCAAAATCCAGCACGAGTTTCTGGTTTTGGAAATTCTGAAATTTTTGCTTTTCTCACCAGGTTTTTTCGAAAAATCAAAATTAATGAGCCTAATGATCCAATGCTAGGCTCGCTCGTTGTGAGAACTTTCTATAGATACCTATATCGTAAAAATCGGACGCGCCAGAAGCCGGATAAGAGGGATTTGTTTTGGGCACATTCTAAATATTTTTACCGGCTTTTCGCCCAGCTATACAGACTAGGGCCAAAAGGGGAATGTCTAAGCATCTCCGGCAAGAAATCGGAAAGGAGATTATCCTGGAAAGTGAGCCGAGAAGCTCGGTTTCCATAGCGATGAGGCAATTCGACGAAATTTTCTGACGGCCGGTCGGCACCGATTTCCGGACGGTGTAACGCATCCACCAGAGAGCACGGACACAAACCGGAAAGGGTAGCCAAACGGAACGGCAAGGGCCAAGGACCTCAAGTCCTTATCTTGCCAGCGCAAAAAGGGCACTATGGATTAGGGCCGTGGGCTTTAGAGAGGTTTTTTTGGAGACGGCCGCCCACATGGCGCGACAAAGTGCTTCAGCCACATCAAATATTAGGCCCCCAAACATAGCCAGGCTTCAAAATAGGCGCTTTTTCGTTTTTGAAGTTGGTCACGTGACACCCTCTTTTTCCTTCGAAATAGAATTTTCGCGATTTTTTAATCTTTATCTTTCCAGGGCACATGCTAGAATCTCTATATGAAGAAGCGGCCGGCCACAGCATACCCCGAGACGCCACCGCCCGCAGCCTCGCCAATTCCTTCCTGTCCGGGCTGAAAAGAAAGAGCGATGAAAAACGCATCAAAGCTGCCCGTGAACTTTACAGGTTCAAAAACTCGATATAATCTTATTTGTTTCTAGATTCATCCAAAATGAACTGAAAGATGAGGGAAATCATTACGTGAACGAATTCTTTCATGCTTTCGATGCAAGCTCGAAGGACAAAGAGAAAGTGAGCACAATAAAATAAGCATCAAATGGCTTTAGAACGAATTGCAAGATTGCCTGCGGGAAAGCTCTGAAATCGAGGAAAAACGAGCCGGCATCTTCATTATCGTTTGTATACTCGAAGCGCCGGCCACGGGAGAAGCCTCCAGAGTCAATCGCTACGCTAACTTGTTGCTTCGAGTGAGGGAATTCAGAAGTTTCTATCTTTTTTACAGAGTTTGACACAGCCAAACACTGATGAGCACACGATGGAGCTGGCCGCCCGCGGGCTCTCTTATTTGATACAGACTTCAAAAGTGACTGAGTTAGTCAACAAATGTATGGATCAATGCCTGGAATGGTTGGAGGACAACGAGCGGTATTTTAGCATTTCCAAGGGTACTCTTGAGTTTAGACAAGAAAAACGTCGTCTCGCCGCGGCGTTTTTGACACGAGAACTCGCACTCTTCACCCCGACAGCCTTTTTCGCGAGGGCCACAAATTTCTTCAAAAATATATTTAAAGTGGTGCACGATGCGAAGGTAATATTACACCTGGTTTTCTGGGTTCTTTCGCATTATCGGGGGATCAACTTTTTCCTAGGATCTAATTTTTCAAATATAAATAATAACAGTGTTTCGAAAGGCTTTTTTACTATTCCTAGATGTGAAAACTCGAGAAAATTTGATGAAAATGTCAAAAACACCGGTTTTTCGACCAAAAATGGCTTATTTTTGACCAAAATTTCGACTTTTTGAGCGTTTAGAGTTTTTTGGCTTAGTTTGTTAGTTCAAAGTAGTTATATATTACTGAAATTGCCATTACGGTGCTAGATATTGCAGGTCTTATAGAAAATTTCGGTACCCCCCGTTAATGCGAAAGAACCGTTTTATGATCTTTTTTTAGCCAAATCTACGCATAGCTGCTGTAAATGCTCTCCATGCCGCTTTGACGATCACTTCCCAGCGAGAAGCCCGCCAGAAAACGGAGTGGTATCGGGTCAGTCCATGCCGAAATCTTGAAATCTGGCTTAGGAATGCTTCAACGAAGCCATGGTTTGCGATATTTCGAGCGGTGATAACAACCGGATGTCGCATTTGTCCAAGGACGATCGGATACACTCGATGCTGCTCGTGCTCAACGAATTGGTGAAGATCAGTGATGCCAGTTACGAGAAGCACAGGTTGAGGATCATTCTATGCCCAAAAAACAACTATTCTTAGAATGTCAACTTTGGGCCATGAAGTCGGCACTTTCTCCGGCGGTTCCACGAACCCGGTCGACTGGTTGACCGAAAACCGGACGACGCATATTGTCGAAAGCCTGACAGCGAGGAGCATCGTTGTGCAAAATCTGGAAATGGTCAGAATGACGAATATGCCTTAATTTGATGGTTGTAGATTATTCACGTCGCCTACGAGGCCCGCAATTCCAAGTCGACCTATGTGCAAACGGTGTTGCTCGAGCTGTACCCACGATTGAGCGCCTGGGAGGGATTCGGGGCGCGAGAACGGCAGTTGAGGGAGATGTTCGAGTATACATTCAGACAGATGCGATCCAGCCCTCAGGTATGGAAAAGTCTGATCTACGATTGCATAAATAAAAATTTGGTTCTGGGTCTTTAGCGGGGGGGAGGCAGCTAATTTTTGATTTGCCTCTATTGCCGACACCTATCTTTAAAGGAATTAAATAATGTATTTCCATTTAATACATTTTAATTGCTAGAAACTTCTAAAAATTTTGAATATTTAGGCCTTTTTCATATATTTTGACCACAAAATCAAAAATTTGCGAAATTTTTGTAACATTTTGAAACGCTTTATATCTAAGAAACTGTGAAATGCTATAGAAAGGGTTCAGATTTTGCCATATAGCCGTACTGAATTACTGGGAGGAAATTGGTACCCCCCACTAACGAATTAGAACCTAAACTTTCAGCAAGCCATACCGTCTGTTGGAATGTTCATGAAGCTCCATCCGGCCGCCTTCGAGGACCGGATACCGGATGTGGTCGCGATAGTCAGCGAAAATATCAACCAATCGTTTTCCAAGTAAGTTTGCCCTCTCCTGCGCCATAAATCGCTTTAGAAAGCGACCGCTCGACAGTGCTGTATACACATTTTTGAAGCTGTTCATCCCGGCCTACGGTGAAAAGGTGGAGCTGGAGGCACGGAGTCTGATTGCATTGATCATGCCAGCTGGAATAAATCTTAGTAAGTCTTATCTAATTTTTTGCGCGTTGTTTCAAGTATCGAAAGCTGCAAAAAATTATTAAAATCTTCGTAAAATTTTTGATTTACAAAAATTTTAAATTTTTTTGATTCAAATTTTTTGAGGTCTTTTGGTGAGAGTGCACTATTAAAAACACTAAAAATACGCGATAACACGCTAAAACTTACTAGATGTTCTTAGGCTAAGTTGCTCCCCCCGCTAACAGTCCAGAACCAACGACCCATCGTCAAATTAAGGCCTCTGTCGCGTCATGAAGCTGGTGGTGGACAAGACGCAATGTTTGAAGGAGGAGATCCAGAAGGGAATGCTCGACCATATCAGCCGAATTCTAGCCCAACAACCATACGCGGCAATCGGTGGAAACCCTAAGGCCAGAATGCCTGCTGGCCCACCCGAGGTTGGTCGTCAGGGAATTTCCGGTTAATAATTGTGCCCCAGATAGGCGACCCTGAATTGACGGTGCTCGCCCTGGACACGTTGGGCAGCTTCAATTTCCCTCGCGGTGATCTGCTGACGTTTTTGAAGTACATATCGGAGGTAAGGTTTTTTAGAATAGCAAGAAACATGAAATATTTTGAAATTTTACTAAGACCTTTATTAAAATACTTAGGTCATGTTAAAATCATTTCTGAATTCCTAGAAAAATTCGGATTCACCCCCCCCCCCTTAATGCGAAAGATCGGTATTTTAACCCTTTTCTAGGGCTATTTGGTGTGCCAAAACAAGGACGTCCGGATCGCGGCGGTGAAGTGCACGGTCAACATGATCATCCCGTTTATGAAGTGGGTTGATTGGTTGGATTTTGAAACGCTATCTTTTTTAGAGTCTTCCACCGTTGCCATCGCGAATATCGAGGTCAACTCCAGGAGACGATCATCGGCGTGCTCACCCGCGTTGTCTCAGTGGGTGTCGTAGATAGAGGTGATTTTTCCGGATCTTCTCTATTTTCTGGTTTAGACGTGGAAGTGCGACTCTGCGTGCTGGACACGCTTTTTAATGGCTCTTTCCCGTTGCTGTCGTTGTTGGCCACAGATCAGGTTTTTTCCGGTTACTCTACGTTAATTAGCTGAATTTGCAGATGCTGACGATGCTTTTCATGTGCATTCATGATGAGAAGCCGGAGATCCAGGTGGCGGCTATTCGCCTCCTCGGAAGGTAGTTTTTGAATGTCGAAAATCGTATTATCGAAATTTCGATATTTGACATTTTTGCATAGAATTTTCCGAGAGTGTTACTTCCATAAACTTCGACTTTCTGAAATTTCGATATTCTGACGTTTTAAAAATTTTGAAAAGTCGACATTATGAAAGTCGACGATTAAATTTCGAAATTATGAAATTTGACCTCTAGATTTTCGACATTCTGTATTTTGAAAGTAACCCATTTTGAGTCGTGATTAACAGAAAAAAAATACTTATATTTTTAGCATCCGAATGACCGAGGTGAATCCAGCTGTCATCATACCTCGACTTCGGCGCATACTGCTCGAATCGTTGAGCCAGTTGAAAACAAGTGGAAATGCCAGGCGAGTTTTTGCAAGTTGAATTAAAATTTAAAACATAAGGTAATTCATTAAAAGTAATTTATCCCCTTCTTTAAGGCTGGAGCAGCACAGCGCCCGTCTCATCTGCCAGCTGGCTAGGCAGAACCCCGACTTCATCAAGGTGTACGTCAGCCCAACCACGGAAGCGCTGCTTTCAAGATTACGGTATGAAATTTTGCACCTTCAAGGATTGTTGTTTAGCATCGAATCTGTCCATTCGGATGTGACGGTGGAGGTGCTGGATTGTCTGGGCGAGCTGGCGCTCGTCGGCGGCTCGGAAATGGTTCGAAATCTTCCCGTCGTCTTCAAATTCCTGCATCAATGCATCACGGACAGCAGCCATCGTAGGAGGAGACAGGTCTGTGTTTTTACTAAAATTTGAGGAATCGGGTCTATTGCATTATCGGGGGGAGGGGCAGATTCTTTTCTAAGGATACCATTTTTCAAATAAAAGTATAGGAATTGTTTTTAGAAACTGGTTTTTTTTTACTTTTCTAAACGTAAAGACTTTACAATTTTGTTGAAAAAGAATCGAAAAATATCGATTCTTCGACCAGAAGTTCTATTAAAAAAGTTTATTTTCACTTATTTTAAGTTTTTATTATTTTTACACTTGAAATATAGTTTAATTCTAGTAAAAACATTATTAACATACTTACCATTAAGTTATTAGGGATTTCTGGAATTGTAAAAAAAATTCGCCCACCCCCGATGATGCCCAAGAACCAAGAAAATCCTTTTTTTCAGGCTGCACTGAGAGCTATGTGCCGCATAGTCCGAACCACCGCCTATGTCATGGAGCCGTACAAGGACTACCCAACGCTTCTTGATGATCTTTTCCGGCTTTTGAAGGCAATTTCGCACGTTTTGATCAAAACTCTAGTTTTTAGACGGAAATGAGCGCCGAGATGCGACGGCAAACCATCCAAGTGCTCGGTGTGCTTGGCGCCCTGGATCCGTACCTACGGAAGGTGTACCTTGGCGACGTCCCGTCTTCTTCAACCCTCTCAACCGCCCTCTCGATGCCGTCTACTAGATTCCAAACGGATACGAGACAAGGTTAGGCTTTTACCTTTTAGAAAAAGAATTTGAAAATAGTGAACTTGAAAGAAAAATGGATTATTTATTTGTAAACAACCGCCATTTTTCTAAGGATCTTCTGTTTAAAATGTAAATAGAGGAAGCGTCACAAATTTTTTTTAGAATATACAAAAAATCTTGATTTTTCCACTAAATAAATGCGTTTAAGTTTAATTGTTTCTTGACTTTCAATATACTAGTTAGCTTTCACCTAAGACAGTATTAAAATTACTTACTATTGCGTTATCAGGCATTTCTGGGCTTAAAAAAGCCCCCCCCCATAATGCAAAAGCACCGAAAGAAGAAACTGGAACGGAAAAATGCCGTTTTCAGAGGTTATCCAATGGTTCAACTACGAGAAGTGCACCCTCGAGGAATTCTACCCGTCGATCACGCTGGCCAATCTGATGTTGATGGTCCAGGACGATGCCTACAACGATCATTACAAACAGGTAAAATAAGTATTAAATTTAATATTAATATTCAGAATAATTAAGAAATAACAAGTATAAAAATATTCTTTTTTTCTTTAGATCGCCCAGGCGCTGCTCACGATTTTCCAGGGCATGAACCAGGATGAATACAAGGCCTATGTCGAACAGGTTGGCCAGGGTGACCATTTTGCATCCGCTTTCTTTAGGTGCTACCCCGCCTCATCGAAGTGACGCGGAAGAACCGACAGCTGGAACACCGGAAGTTCTTCATCTCCCAAATAGCCCAACTCGTCGACATTGTCCGGCTCCACGCGAAGAACTACATGAAGTCCATCTTTCAAATGATTGCTGTAAGTCGGGCTCGTTCTCGGGTTCTTTTGCATTATCGGTGGGAGAACGAAATTTTTTTTTCTCAAAATCCAATTGTTTAAGTTTACATTTTTTAATGATTAATTTTATAGATTTTTTTATAACCGATTGTTTTTAGATTGGATTGAGCACGTTTTGCCAAAACTGTTTGTTGCTATTCCGTAGCATAAAAACTTTATAAATTTTCAATAAAGTGTACAAAAATATCGATTTTTCGATTTAAATAGCCAAAGTTTTTTCAGAATTGCAACTAAAATTTACATTTTTTGGCTTATTTCTATCTTATTTTATTTTATAGCAAAATTTTCTGTAAGAAAATTTAGGTCCCCCCCCCCGATAATCCAAAAGAACCCATGTTCAGAACAATATCATCCGATTTAGGAAGCCTGGTGCGAAGACCAGTCGATGAAGCTCACGATCATCAGCGCGTTGGAGTTGATGGGGACGGCGCTGGGGAAGGATTTCGCTCCGTTCGTCGACGAGCTTATCCCGTACTTGCTGCGCGTCATCCAGTCTGATCGGACGGCCGAACGACGGCTAACTACCAAGGTATTGGAATGCGGTTTGTCTTGAGCGTAACGGTTTCTTTAGGTACTGGCGTGCGTGGGTGCGCTATCCGGATGTTTGACGCCGCACCTCCACCTCGTTCTGCCGCCGATCCTTGCGATTGTCGACGACTCGAACAGCCTGATGAACGTGCGGGAATTGGCGTTGAACACTATTCTGCAATTAGGTGGATATTTTCGAAACAACACAAAAAACCGACTAAAATTAAACTATTAACCTTTTTGAATTTAATTTTGAATTTTAGCAGTTAATATCGTAATTTCGAGCATTCATAATTTTTAAATTTATTAGTGTCGAAATTTCGAAATATCAAAATTTACGTGTAAAAATGAAAAAATTTCGACATTATGAAATTCCGGTATCATGGAAATTCGGTATTACGTATTTCGACATTGTGAATTTCGACATTATCATTACACACCCGTCTTTAGCCGAAAGCGAGGACGTCTCCGAATTTGCGCCCCGCCTGATGCAAGCCTGGCTACGTGGTGTCGATGTCGTCTCCCTGCAAAAGCCGCTGCTAAAGCTACTTGTTGTTGTCGCCGGACAGGTTGTTTAAAGTCCTAGTTCCTTAAAATAATGCTATTCAGATGTGGCGCCACTTTGACGTCTATCGGACGAGCGTCGACATGGCCCTATTGAAGCACAACCTGCAATGCCCCGAGTATGACCGGTTGACGTTCACGATGATGGACCACGAGCTGAAGCATGTAAGGGAACGCTTGGCCGATTTATTACATTTTTCGGTGCTTTCGTATGAACGGGGGGGGGGGTTCAAATTTTTTTTATACGTCTAAAAATACCTAGTACTATCAAACATTTTCAAAAATCGAATCTGTCAAAAAACAGTCAATTTTCTGTCGAAAATCGATATTTTTGGATTTTTTAATTAAAATTGATAGGTATAATGCAACAAAACAGGTCCGCTATTTGAATTTAAAAAATTCTATTCTAATTTTCAAAAATCCTCCCCCCCCCCGATAATGCGAAAGAACCCCTTTTTCTTACAGATGGCTGGTACGGCGTGCGCCCCGAATCCCCTACCACCATCACAGTTTGACCACTCGAAGGGCCGGTCAAAGATGACGCGCCGCCAACCCGTCCAGGTCAAGAAGCAAAAGTTCAGCGCCGAGCTCGTCCGCCCAAATTGGATGGTTCGTACTTGTTGTCTGTAGTTTACAGCCACCACTGCAGACGGAAACCCTGGTGAATCGCGAGGACTGGTCGCAATGGTTGACGAAGCTGCGCTCGGCTTGCCTCAGGCTCAGGTGCGCTTTTAAAGGCCTTTCCTAGACGAAAATTCGTTTCAGTAGCAGCGCTGCGCTGAGAGGTGCCGCCCCACTCACCGATCTCTATCCCCATTTGGCCAAGGATCTGTTCAACGCGGCTTTCATGTCCGTCTGGACCGAGCTGAGCCAACCGCACCAGGATGAGGTGATTTTTCGTGGCTCATGTTCATTTTTCCTAAAATAATTTTTTTTCTAAATTTATTTTGCCTAAAAATCGGTTTTCCTGGAATTGTCGTGTAAATGGCGGTGCGTCAAGAGAGCAAAAAAAAAGACAGATACTGCCATTTTCCGTATCCAGCGCAATAAAATCAGTATAACGAAATAAATCAAAAAAGATGAGTTTAGGAAAAACTACAGTAATCCCTTTTCGTCACGCTGCATCCATAATTCGATTTTAGTTGACGAAAAACCTGGAAAATGCCCTGCGGAACAGTGGACAGCCGGACATTGTGCAGACGATCCTCAACCTCGCCGAATTCATGGACCACTCTGAGAAAGGCCCATTGCCGATCCCGTATCACGTGCTTGGAAGTGCCGCAGAAGGCACCCGCGCCTATGCAAAGGCCCTCAGATACAAGGTGATTCTAAAAGTTTGACCAAAAAATTTTCTACTTCAGGAAATCGAGATCGAGCGGAAAATTGCGAAACGATACCCGGTGACCCCTGAAGATTGCCAAGCCCTCATCACGTAAAAACCCAATTTTTATGCAGTTGCCCTTTTCAGATACGCCAACAAGTTGAACGTGCACGATGAGGCGGCTGGCGTCGTCAAATACGCTGAAAAGCATGGAATCCAAGCGGTCCTCCAGGGGAAATGGTACGAGAAGCTGCAGGACTGGGAAAAGGCCCTCGAGTTTTATCAGGTATAAAAATTACACGCAGCTAAAATGACATTTTTAAATATAAATAGCGGCAGTGTTTCTAAAACATTAATTTCAATCAAAAAAGGCGGTTTTTTGGCCAAAATGTCGACTTTTCCAAAAAAATTTTGACATTTTTTAGGTATTTTTCTAGTCGAAGTATAGTTTTATACTGCTAAAATATTATTAAGTTACGAGGCATTTCTAGATTTATACAAAAAAATTTTGGTCCCCCCGATAATGCGAAAGAACCGACTTGATTTACTTTTTAGAAAGAGCCAAACCAAGACCTGGTCGCCCAGTACGAGATGCGCTGTCTGGAGGCCCTCGGCCGATGGAAGGACCTGAACGAGATGGCGTCGTTTGAGAAGGCGACGGCGAACCCGAAGATTGCCGTCATGGCAGCAAGAGGAGCGTGGGCGGAAGGTAAATTTATATAATTTTTCAAACCTAGTTTTTCCTCTACAGGTCAACTCGATAAAATGGCCCAATTCGTCGAGATGGTGTCACCTAACACGCAAGATGGCTCGTATTTGAGGGCCGTGCTGGCCGTGCGAAATCAAGAATTCCGCAAGGCGACGTTCTTGATTGATAAGGTTCGAGATTCTACGAGATTCTAGTTTTGTGTTACCAGGTTCGAGACATGTACGACACGGAGTTGACGGCGTTGGCCGGCGAGAGCTACGAGAGGGCGTACGGAGCGATGGTGCTCATCCAGCAACTTGCCGAGCTGGAGGAGGCTATCGAGTATCGAGGTAAATTCGTATTTCTTTGGCATTGGAACCGTTTTTAGTCCGCAAAGATCGCCGACTTCGCATCTCGCTACTCTGGTCTCGCCGGCTGCTCGATTGCCAGGAAGACGTCGAGCAGTGGCAGCGCGCCTTGTTCTTACGGTAATTTTTACTGACTTAATTACGCAATTCTTTATTGACTAAATTACCCGGGTATAACTTGCTTACCTGTACTTGTTTTTAGGGAGATGGTCATGCCGACAAATCACATTCTTCCCCTCAAGGTGAAGTTTGCGTCGCTGTGCCGCCGTCAGGGACGTCATGACATGGCCAAGGATGTCCTGCGCAGTCTATTAGGTAGGGGAATTTGATATATTCGTGTTTTAAATTGTTATTAAAAATAAACTTTAAATGGAAATAAAAACGTTATTAAAAATATCGTGCTGCAGGTATCCCGCCCCGAGCCGAGCTCCACACCGCCTCTGTGCCCCAGGATAAGCCAAACTTGGTGATGGCCCTCTGCAAGCAGCTGTGGGCTGATGGGCTACACGGGTCGGCGGTGGCCACGCTGGATGCATTGGTAAATAGCTTTTTCTTTATTTTTAATTTGAAACTGCTTTTAGTCGCGCCATTTGGAAAGGACGGCCACTACGGAAATGCCCACGCAAAAGCGGAGAACATTGGCAAAGGTTGGTAAAAATATCTTAAACCGATTGTGAGCTAATTTCGAAATGACATTATGTCGAAATTGTGATTTTTTCGAAATTGGGTTATTTTCATTTCGTGTTTTGTCGAAAAGCGTATATTATCCAAATTTTAATGCCTTTTTCGCCTCGATTATTCATCTTAAACATGTCGCAAATTGAATTGTCAGCGATTGAACTTTCGGAAAAACGAATTTTCCACAAAATAATGCTTTGACAGCCGCTTAGCAAATCTTCGAAAGTTTTTGCATGGTATTTGAGAGATCCGAGAGATTTGTACCAGTAAATTTCAGCGTTATGAAATTTGTGGAAATTTTAAAAATTCGACATTATGAACTTCGATATTACGATTTTCGACATTTTAAAGGTAACCGCTTTTCAGGTATTCGTGAAACTTGGCGAATGGACGTACGCGGAAGGACTGCGAAATATTGAGAACAACTCTTATCCCAAGCAATCGGTATCATTTTTTCGATATCTCTTACTTTTTGCGTCTAGGTCGGCTCTTCTGAAGGAGCATTGGCTCAGCTGTTGGCCCAGGCCGAACCGATGTCGAGGATGAAGAACGAGCGCCACCTCTCCCAAACCGTCATTCAGCTCTACCGAAAAGCCGCCGTGCAGCATGACCCCAGCTGGCACAAGGTAGACGAGTTTAGGGAAACGTTCTAATTTGATCTAGGCATGGCACCGTCTCGCCATCACCTACTACGCGACGCTACAGAGGGAACGGGAGCGTCTTCTAGCCGTCACGAATTCGGCTGGTGGCCAGGTACTCGGAAATATATCTTTAAACTACCTTCCACGTTGCCATATTTTTAGAATTAAAAAAAAGAAATAATATCGATTTTTTTGATCCAAAAATGGCCATTTTTGACCAAAATTTCACTTTTTGAAAGGGTTTTCTGGTTGTAATATAGTTTTAGTTTTCTAAAAACATTCGTAAGCTGGTTCCTATTAAGTTATTGGGCATTCCTAGACTTCTATAAAAAAAAATGTTTCTCGATGATGCGAAAGGACATTAAAATTATTTTGCTTCGATTTTAGGCCCATCTTCACGGCTCCTTGAGCGCACCAGCGGGAAGTATTCCTGAAGACCAACGTAGGCGTCAAGCTTTCGAATATGAACTCCTCTTTTTAGCGAATGTTCCTGGCGCCCTGTCTCCCAATTTGCCGTACAATTCTGGCCAACCAGGCCCTTCGACCCAACCACCGCCCATCACATTCCAGGCAAGCTTTCCCCTACCTCTTCCGAACCGCCTTTTTCAGACTGGCGCGACTCCTGCTGCGAAGGTTGTCGCCGAGCTGCGCAACAACATCAAGCAGCTCGCCCTGCACTCGATCTCCTCCTTCATCGAGGCCCTGAAGCTCGCCAAGGGATCACGGCTCGAAGACACGCTTCGACTTATGGCGCTGCTCTTCGACATCACCGAGACGTTGCCCACCGAGTTGCGTAACGGGCTGAAGAAGTTGCCGCCAGAGATGTGGCTTGAGGCTGTCCCTCAATTGATCGCTCGACTGGAGGCGAAGAACTCGCAGGACACGAGGGAGGCGCGGAATGCTGGCATCGTCAAGCAGGTCATCCTCGACGTCAGCAAGGTGTATCCGCAGGTATCCGAACTTCAAGCTTCGTTTTATTTCATTTTCACAGGCCCTCGTCTACCCAATCACGGTCGCTGCAAAATCAAGTGGTTCGGAAAATGGGCTGGAGCTGTTCACGCTATTTAGTGCGTCTTTGGTGCTTGGTGTAGCTATAATTTTAGGTGACATGTCCCCGAAGCACAACAAGCTGGCCGAAGAGGCGAAGCTGGTCACCGAGGAGCTCGTTCGATGCGCTATCCTTTGGCACGAACAGTGGAACGAAGCCCTGGATGAGGCGAGCCGGCTGTATTTCCAGGAAAACGACATCCCCGGTTTCCTGGCAACCCTCGACCCGATGCACCAAAGGCTGAAGACGGCCCCGATGACGATCAAGGTAGAACCGTGGAAATCCATTAAAATTACCATGCCTTTGTTTAGGAACACTCGTTTGTACAAACCTACTTCGCCGACCTGACGGACGCGCTCAAGTTCTGCAACGCCTACCGCATTGGCCAAGACCGAAAAGAGCTGGCACAGGCCTGGGAAATCTACATCAACGTGTTCAAGCGGATTCAAGTACGTTTTATGGCAGCCTCAAAATACGCTACTTGTTAGGGTCAACTTCGACAACTGACCTCCTTGGACCTGACTTACGTGTCGCCAAAGTTGAAGAATGCCAAAGATCTCTCCATTTCGGGTAAGAATCTGGACGCGGTGATTACACCTCACTTTCAGTCCCCGGCACCTACGACCCAGCACAAACGGACGAGGACATTGTCCGCATCAGCTACGTCGACACCCTGCTGACCGTCATCAGCAGCAAGCAAAAGCCGAGGAAAATGCAGATGAGAGGTAGTTTACGCGAAAAATCACGTTAATATTTATATTTAGGCAGCAACGGACGGGATTACATGTTCCTGCTGAAGGGACACGAAGACCCGCGTCAGGACGAGCGTGTCATGCAGCTATTCGGGCTGGTTAACGCCATGCTAGCGAAAAATGAAGAAACCGGACGCACGAATCTTGCCATTCAGGTGTTGAAGATTTTTAAAGTTCACCAATCCCAAATGGTTAGCGCTATTCCATCATTGCCCTCTCGCAAAACTCGGGCCTGATCGGCTGGGTGCCAAACTGCGACACGCTGCACACCCTCGTCAAGGAGTACCGCGAAAAGAAGAAGGTCAGATTGGCCTAACTTTTATAAATTTGTATACCTCAAATTTAGATATCGCTATCCGCCGAGCACAAAGAAATGCAAGCCAACGCGCAAGATCTGGAGACGTTGCCGCTCGATCAGAAGGTGGGCAGAAATCTTTTTAAATATTCAGCTTTTTAGGTGCAACTTTTCAACCTGGCCCTCGCAAAGACGAGCGGCGATGATTTGCAGAAGATTTTGTGGCTCAAGAGTCCCAGGTTTGTGTTCCAATATGGATTGAGAATATTTTTGGATCTTTCGCATTATCGGGGGGGCGGCTTTTTGTATGACTCTAGAAATGTCTGATAACTTAATATGCAGGATTTTTAATAGCGTTTTAGTGGGAAAAACAAGATTTCAACAGTTCAAAAAACTTTTAAAAAGTCGACATTTGGCAACGACTGGCCATTTTTGGTAGAAAAATCGTCATTCTGTCATTTTTTCATCAAATTTTGCTAAGTTTTCACGTGGAGGAATCGAAAAAACCATTTATAAACACTTACAGTATTTATACTTGAAAAATTAGACCATAGGAAAGCCCCCCCCACCCGATAATCCCAGGGAACCATGTTAGCTCCATTTTTTTAGCTCCGAAGTTTGGTTCGACCGGCGCACGAATTACACCCGCTCGATGGCCGTGATGAGCATGGTTGGGTACATTCTGGGGCTTGGCGATCGGTAGGTGCCATTTTTGTCCCGACTACGATAATTTTAGCCACCCCTCAAATCTGATGCTCGACCGGCTGACGGGCAAGATTGTGCACATCGACTTTGGCGACTGCTTCGAGGTGGCCATGTCCCGGGAGAAGTACCCGGAAAAGATCCCCTTCCGCTTGACGCGCATGCTCATCAAGGTCGGCTATAGAAATTGTATTTTTATGGTCATTGCAGGCGATGGAGGTCTGCGGCATTAATGGTAACTATCGTCATACTTCGGAGCGAGTGCTCGGTCTTTTGCGTGCGAACAAAGATTCTCTGCTCGCCGTCCTTGAGGCCTTCGTCAATGACCCGAACATCAACTGGCGGTTGTTGGAAGGTGTGTGGCTGATAATAAAAAAATCAGGATCTTTTGCGTTATCGGGGGGGGGGCAACTTCTTTCTTATGATCTTATTCTTCAAATATAAATATTGGAAGTGCTTCTAAACCTTTTTTTTACTTTTTTAAACGTCAAAGCTTACGATTTTTATTAAAGAGATCAAAAATCACCTTTTTAAACTTAAATATAACTATTTTCCATTTAGTGAACCGGCAACGACGGAACCCCGCCGAGAAGCAGGACATTTCCAAGATGGTCAAGGACGAAGGGCTCAGTCAAGAGTCGGCTCGAAAAATTGTCGAGCGGATCAAGAGCAAACTCATCGGTAAAGGTGCCTAAACATTACAATGGCTTGCCTAGGGCACGACTTCGAACCGGAGCGCGAGTACAACGTCGTCGAGCAGTTCAACAAGCTCGTCGAAGAGGCCACAAACGCCGAAAATCTGTGCCAATGTTACGTGGGATGGTGCCCGTTCTGGTAGTAAAGCTGCTAATCATTGCAAAAACTGTGCTAATCTGTATGTACCTATTTTTGTATGTTTGAGTCTAGAAACGGCTTATGAACTCACTCCCCGGCTTCAATCAGAGAGAGTATGCTTGTTGCTTGGAATCGTTGATTTTTGTCTCATCCTCTGAATTTGGCCTCAATGCCTTGTCATACCGCACTTGATCGATTTATGTTTTTTGTGTGTCAGTGTCTTATTAGCGTGAGATAAAGATTAGGGCATAAAATCCGAAAATCGATCCACTGGTAAATACGGCTGAATACAAGCACACGGTGGCCGATCACCTGTTCGAAAATCATCCGTTCGAAAATCATCTGTTCGAAAATCACCTGTTCGAAAATCATCTGTTCGAAAAGTCATCTGTCCGAAAAGTCATCTGTCCGAAAAGTCATCTGTCCGAAAAAAAATCATCGGTTCGAAAAATCACCTATTCGAAAAAGGTCCCAAATGGGGAAAAATTCTATGGTAAGCTATTGCTATTAAAATGCTGTGTTTCGCATGTCTCGTGGGAAAGTTCGAGGAAAATCTGAAATTTCGCGGCTATATCGAATCCTCCGCCAAGCCAAAGAAGCGCCCGAGGGTGACCATCGACGAGCAGCAGCAGCTCTGCGAGAACTACAGCAAAGAATATATGGCCGAGTTCCTCGACAACATCGCCAAAACTTTAACCTGAAACGTCATGAATATGTCTTTTAAAGTCTTTTTGTTTTTTTATTTTTTTTTTTCATGAAAAGACTTTTCAAACAAACGTGAATTTTGGAAAAGTTGTTGCTTGGAAAACGGTGATTTTTCGAACAGATGATTTTCGAACCGATGATTTTCGAACAGATGACTTTTCGAACAGATGAATTTCGAACAGATGTCTTTTCGAACAGATGATTTTCGAACAGATGATTTTTCGAACGGATGATTTTCGAACAGGTGATTTTCGAACAGATGATTTTCGAACAGGTGATAGGGAATCCAAGCACACCGGACTACGAATACCGAAGAAAAGCGGATTACTGTCAGTTTCTTAGTATGCTAGTATACCGGGCCAGTTAGAACACCAGAATCAGCGTTTTTAGGCGGTTCGAATGAGCCCAGACATGAATGAGTCAAATGAGACCAAGGAGGGCGCGTTTGTCGTCTACGAGAGCCGCACCGAGCAGAAGTTCAAGCTCAAGAAGGTGGGCTCTTGCTTAGGCGGAGGTTTAACCTTGCGGCGACCATTTTTCACCAAATCCCGCCTGACCGCCGGGGCGTGGTTTAGCCGGACCAGCCGTGCTAGCCGGAGCGTCGCGGAATTCTCATGCCGAGAACGATTAGCGGGTTTTCGGGGTTTTAGACGTTAGGAAAAATCGTACAGTATGACACAGTAGCCCAAATTTAGCAGAGCAAAACGAACTCGGCCAAGACGCCCGCCTACGTGCAGGTGCTCACCGATTGTGCTAGGGATTAGTTGGGTTGGTCGGTCTGGCTTTCTCTCTCTCTCTCTCTCTCTCTCTCTCTCTCTCTTTCTCTCTCTCTGTCTCTTTCGGCCGCTACGCGGCTTTTCACCCCTGGCCTCTCCGCGGGGACTTATACAGGGTTTCCCAAAAAAACCCCCCCCCCTCTAGCGGTTCGTGGGAAGCTCAGATCAGGATGATTTTTATACCATTCGAACGCCCGCGAAAAGGCGAGAAAACAAGCGGGCTTCATTTTCTAAGATTTATTCTGATTCGTCCGATATTCAGCGTTTTTCTAAAAAACAGGTAGCTTTTCAATAGGAATTTCGCAATTAGCATGCGGATCTCGCGTAAATCTGCCATTTTCATGGATTTTGGAGGTAAAATTCGCCAATAAAAATACATAATAAAGGAAATGAACTCTTCTTGTTTTCTCGCCTTTTCGAGAGCTTTATAGATACCTAAACGGCGAGAATCGGACACGTCTGGGCGCCGCTAGAGGGGGTTTGGGACACCCTGTACACGGACACTCTGCATATAATAATTTGCACAAATCTTACGATTTACGTTAGGGATCTGGGCGCCACAGGAATTACGTGAGCAACCGTCTTCGAGTCCCGCAAAGGCCAAAATGAGCCGAATTAATTCGCGTATGCAAATTAGTCTATTTCATATGCTAATATGTTTATCCTACTATATATAAAAAAATAGTGTCTGTGTGTGTGTGTGTGCCACTTTGCATGCAACTTCCGTCACCATGTCCAGAGGATATCCCAAGAGGGGAAGAGGTTTATGCTACGCATGATATACCATTAGGTGCGTAATGGCTCTGGGATGACTGCACGCTTATCAGATTTTACAAAATCAGCTGTTTTCGACATTAAATTTCAGTTTTTTGTAAACATTTCGGGAATCCTCTTTGTTAGGAAACAATTAACATACACCGGAAGTGGCGGTAGCCTACAAAAAGGGTCTGGGAGTGCGCTTTTCTTTTTCTGTGAGCTGAATTGATGATATGATGCAAAGTGAAGCAAATCTAGGGATCAGACGTCTCTCGCGAAAATCAAAAAAAAAAATGAAAAACGCCCTCTTCGGCCCCTTTATGTAGTCGACTCTTCCGGACTATGCTAATTATTCCTAACAAAGAAGTGTTCACAAAAACTTAAATTGAATGTCGAAAACAGCTAATTTTGTAAAATCTGATATGTGTGCAGTCATCTCAAGACCATTGCGCACCTAATGACGTATCACACATACCTTAAAATTCATCCCCCATCGAGATATCCTCCGGACAGACAGACGGAAGTGGATGCAAAGTGACACACACACACACACAAACACTATTTTTTTATTATAGTCAAAATCTGATAAGCGTGCAGTAATCCTACGCCCTCGAATACCCATAACTACCTAATTTCTGGACCAAAAATCCTTTCCCCTTCGAGTTATGGCTGGAACCCAGGATTTTATGCAACGTCTCTACACACACACAGACATTGCTTTGACGTTCTAATGGTAATCAAAAAATGAGCTTTTCTACAGCCGGAAATCAAACGCCACTTTTCAGCACTGCAGAATTTATGCTCTGAGGCAAGGCTATGATGCAAACCCGATGGAATTTTGCGAAAACACTTTGCGGCCAATGTTTGGACGGATCTGGGGTACGAAGACGAACATCTTCCGAGGCGCTGAACCGTCTTTTACCTTTACGTATTGTCATAAATGAATTATGGCATTGAATTGATCACTGTTCCGAAATAAACTTTTTCAAAAACCGCGGCGGATGTGGGGCACGAGATATTGTGGAGGTTCGGATCCAGCGAGACCTCAGAAAAGCATAATTTTTTGAGAGAAATTGGCTTCATCCGAAGGCAAGCGATTTTCAGCTTAACAATTACTGGGAAAATTTTCTTTTATGGTCCTCGCCCGAAAAGTGTTTTTTCGGGTCGGAATCGATCTAGAAATGATCAAAATGTAGTTTTCAGTGAAAAAAATGCGCCGGAAAGAAGTTTTTGAGGGCTAATAAGACCTTTTTTGCTAAAATTCGGCACCATAAAAGGGGGTACGGGGGTATGTCGTTTATGGTCCTCGGCTATAATCCCGTTTTTCTTGTCGGAAACAATCCAGAAATGTTCAAAATGTCATATTCAGTGAAAAAAAATGCGCCGGAAAGAAGGATTTAATGGCTAAAACGACTTCTTTTGCTGAAAATTCGAGGACCATAAAAGGGGATACGGGGGTATGTCGTTTATGGTCCCCACCTGAAAAGTGTTTTGTCTTTTACCAAATCAATAGATAATTGTTGGAAATTCATAATACTTCGAAAAAGAGTGCCGGAAAGATGTTCGTGGTCGCCTAAGACTTCTGAACAAGGTGCGGCACTAGCATTGTCAGGCAAGGCGGGCCGTCGCTTCGGATGGGCTGCCGCTCCACTCTTCCGAGATGGGGGCGCCCCCGGCCGCTTCGCCGGCCTTGGCGCCCCCATTTCGAAACCCTGTACGAGCTCGCGCCCATCCGAAGCGACTAGGCCCCCGGTGGCACGAAGCCTTATTTTTAGGCTAAAACTGGGCTGAATGAATTTTTGTATCAAAATAATTTTTGCAGCCAAAAAGGTCTTTCCGGCGCTTTTTCTGAACTGCAAACGATATTTTGAACATTTCTGGATTGTTTCCGACGAGAAAAACTGGATTTTAGCCGAGGACCATAAACGACATACCCCCGTACCCCCTTTTATGGTCCCCGAATTTTAGCAAAAAAGGTCTTTTTAGCCCTCAAAAACTTCTTTCCGGCGCATTTTTTTCACTGAAAACTACATTTCGATCATTTCTAGATCGATTCCGACCCGAAAAAAAACACTTTTCGGGCGAGGACCATAAAGGTAAATCAAGCCCAATTACTGATTTTTCCAAGTTTTTTTTGTAGTTTGAACCGATGACCTAGTCGATATTTTGGCGGCTCAGAAAACAGCACCCGAGGCTATTTAGGGCAGATGGGGTGGGCTTTCTTTTCAAGTATACGTTCGTTGTTCAATACGCGATATCCACTTACCCGCCCTATATTACTCTCAATATTAGCCAATTTAGCGAGATTTCATTAAGAAATTTCAGCAAACATGTTAGACAAGTTTCCGGTCAAGGAGCTTCCCGTACTGTCATTGAGGAAAATCTATCGCAAGCTGAATCCCGATGGAAAGTATCGTTTTCGGGCGGTTAATAAGGTATGGGACTATGGGTAACATTGGAGCTGATATTTCCGTATTTTTAAGGCCTTGTTTGCAACGGCTTCACGCTCCATCACCCTCTTTTCTGGGCCCGTGCGTTGGATGGATTTGAGGTTTAGAGAGGTACCAAAATGCGAGCCACAAAGAGTTATAGTAGCGTGGGGTTACATGGGTTTCAATTTTTGTGTTGCGTCTTTCAGACATGGCTTGCGTCGATCTTCGTCGACAGTTCGATTGTATTTGAAATCGACTACAGCCGGGATCCCGATTCGATCAATCTCAAATGGAAAAATAAGACCACGAATGAAACCTGGTAAGTGTGCTCA